CTCCGTCGCGCCGCCTGGGTCATAGAAAATGGACATCATTCTTTTAGCTAATTATTCATTCCAAATTTCTCACATTTTTTTTTTTTATTAAAAGCATTTTTAATCATATTTATGATTTGTTAATCAAAAGGTTGTCATAAATGTTCGTTGGACAAATATCGAAATGCACAACTGACAATGCTGTAAGTCGTTGAAGAGAGTGAAGCGCCGGTAAAAGAAAAGCTTGAACATAAGTTGTAAGTCACATGGTAAGGTTTTCACTCATGAACGCGGGGTCTTAAGCCCCCAATCATGGGTGAAAAGCCGGATTCATGATCCCGCGTTCACTTACGAACACGGATAGGCTGTGATGTGCCCCTCAGATGGGTTCAAGAGCCCCGTAGTGGAAGCCTGCTAGGTGTATACTGAGAAATATGTCATGTAGTATGCTGCTATAACCACACTTGGCCCCTGGGCGTTGTAGAGATATAACCTGTGGCGCGAATATACTCTAGCAGAGCATTTATTAACCTTTACTATATAGCGTTACCAGATCGCTAAAAGTAGCGATATTAGGGACTACAGCAAACAAATTTATAATCAAAGTAGCCTAACTTTATTTTGTTTAGAGACGGATACGCTTTTCAGAGTAAATAATAATGCTGATTTTTTAAGTACCCCCCAACCCCAAAATAGCAAGTAGGGACATAGCTGGGTTTTCAAAAGTACCACAATTCGCTACTTATAGTCTAATCTGGCAACACTGACCCGAGTAGCCTAACATAGGGAGGAGCTGATGTCATTTTCGCGCCATATTAGAAATCCATGCTTACACCATCATGATAATAAAAATAATAATAATAATTTATTACATTCATACAAAACCACTAACACGCATAGCGTTTCGGGCAGTTTAAATTCAAAATTGTATCAATCCTACGTCTCTCCAGGAAGTATTACGGACATAAAACATTTTGTGTAATAGAATACATATACTTAAATTATATTCGCGCGAGGTAAATAACGTCATTTTTTCATCCAGAGAATTTTTTTTATCTAGAAATGACTAAATACGAACAATTATAGAGCAAAAGAATTATATGTATATACGATAAATATACAAAATTTAGACATATTTATAAATTATCCAAATCCAATTGCAAATCTAAAACCCAAAGCCACCTATAATTACATTATTAATGTAATTATAGGTGGCTTTGTTAATGTAATTATAGGTGGCTTTATTAATGTAATTATAGGTGGCTTTGTTAATGTAATTATAGGTGGCTTTATTAATGTAATTATAGGTGGCTTTATTAATGTAATTATAGGTGGCTTTATTAATGTAATTATAGGTGGCTTTGTTAAAACCACCAATAATTACATTAAGCCACCAATAATTACATAATAAGTATAATTACAGGACTACGGTACTTCACTGGATTGTAATTATAATTATAGGATTAAGGTATACTTATTTATTGGATAGTATCCAGGTAGACTAGTCCATATACCCACGGACTCATTTCCTGCAGGGTCGGAGTTCGATCCCTCGATGGTCGAAGTGGTTGGGCACGACCCGTCACACCGTCCTCCCGTCCACAGATTCTGTCAGTGTGCTCTATGGTCATATTGGCTTATCATTTGTCATAATATGATTTCACTCTCAAACTAATTATGTTAAACTAGTTTTGAGTATACTAGTTATAAGTAATAATCTCAAGCAATTATAAGGTATATATTTCAGTACAAATATATCCGGTTGAGTTATACTTCATGTATAATTGTTGATAGTGGTTATTGTTGATAATTCTCTGTTTCTTTTTCCCTCTTTCTCTGTCTCTCTCTCTCTCCCTCTCTCCCTCTCTCCCTCTCTCCCTCTCTCCCCTCTCTCTCTCTCTCTCTCTCTCTCTCCCTCTCTCTCTCTCTCTCTCTCTCTCTCTCTCTCTCTCTCTCTCTCTCTCTCTCCCTCCCCTCTCTCTCTCTCCTCTCTCTCTCTCTCTCTCTCCCCCTCTCCCCCTCTCTCTCTCTCTCTCTCTCTCTCTCTCTCCCTCCTCTCTCTCTCTCTCTCCCCCCTCTCTCCCTCTCTCTCTCTCTCCCCTCTCTCCCTCTCCCCCCCCTCTCTCTCTCTCTCCCCTCTCCCTCCCCCCCCCTCTCTCTCTCTCCCTCTCCCCCCCCCCTCTCTCTCTCCCTTTCCCCCCCCCTCTCTCCCTCTAACACCATTCAACACTCAGAAGGTAAAAACTCATCATGTTTACATAAGGACAAAATACAATGTTAAATGTTTCATTCAGGAGCTCACGAATTTATGAAGTAAATATTAGACTCGTCAGCTATAAAACTTACTCAAGATCTTCCTGAGTGGATTACGCAGACCAGATGACTCCTAGTGGTGTGAGGAGAGGGAAGCACAGATTATGCTCTCTGGGGAGGGGTCACGCCTACCTACGACCCACACACGACACTCAGGAGGTTCAGACGCTGTCTGTGACCTGTAAATGGTATTTAAGGTTCCATAGATGCGACGGGCAATCTATTAGACAGATGAATTAGCGGCTTTATTTGATTATTAGATATTCACAGCCGCTGTTTACACTCCATGGATGTCTAAACCTCTCACACACACACACACACACGCACTCTCTCTCTCACACACACACACACACACACACACACACTCTCACACACACACACACACACACACACACACACACACACGCACACACACTGTGTGTTGAGAGGCACCAAAGAGCCAGAGCTCACCCCCGCAAGCACAACTAGGTGAGTACACAGGTGAGTACACAGGACCATGTGTGTTGAGAGGCGGGGCCAAAGAGCCAGAGCTCAACCCCCGCAAGCACAACTAGGTATGTACACACACACACACACACAGAGGCCTCGCGGCTGAGTGGATAGCACTCAGAGGTCGTAGTCCTAAGGGCCTCGGGTTCGATTCCCGGCCGAAGCAGAAACAAATGCTCAAAGTTTCTTTCACCCTGATGTTCCTATTCACCTAGCAGAAAATAGGTACCCGGGAGTTAGACAGCAGTTACGGGCGGCTTCCTGTGTGTGAGTGTGAGTGTTACGTCATAAACACGTTAAGCCAAGATGTAACAACTTTATTACAAGTTGTAACAAGCGGAAAATAGAGACAGTTTCGGTTTGTGTTTCCAGGGTTAGGCGACAGTCCAGCCCAAGGGGGGGGGAGGGGGGTATAGTTCCTGGATATAAAGATGAGGTTTGAAAGAATATTCCAAATAAATCCTGAAGTGTATTCATAAAAAATTAACAGACAAATGAACGTTGGGAGAACTGAAAACTTGCCACGTTGGAGCCTAATGTGTGCAAGATGTGTGTGTAATATGTGTGCAATGTACATGCAAGATATGTGCATAAAAGATCAGGGCCAAGTAAAACAAGCACATATACACTCTTGACTGGGACTTGGGTCTAGTGTATGGGACTTGGGTCTAGTGTATGGGACTTGGGTCTAGTGTATGGGACTTGGGTCTAGTGTATGGGACTTGGGTCTAGTGTATGGGACTTGGGTCTAGTGTATGGGACTTGGGTCTAGTGTATGGGACTTGGGTCTAGTGTATGGGACTTGGGTCTAGTGTATGGGACTTGGGTCTAGTGTATGGGACTTGGGTCTAGTGTATGGGACTTGGGTCTAGTGCATATACATTTAAGCCACATCTAATTTGGTTAATTGGGTTGCACAACATATGAGGATTTATGTTATATATATTCAAATATGTATGCGAGTGTATATATATACCACAGAGGGAATTTATCGTGTTGCAAATTATTATTGTGGCTTTTGTTTTCATTATTTATCATTATTAATTATGAATTAGTATTGGTATATATCTTTCACACAATATATATTTGTAGGTGAATTAATCTATTAAACTATAAGTGAATATCTTGATGAGTAGATATTTGAAGTACTGAGATCGACTACTGTGTACTGTACTTTACTGCTGTGTACTGAGCTATGTTGCTCTGTACTACACTTCACTGTCCTGTACTGTACTGTACTGTACTGTACTTCACTATACTTCACTATATTACTGTACTATACTGCACTTCCGTGTATTATACCTCACTGTAATGAACTGTACTACGTAGCCACACACACACACACACACACACACACACACACACACACACACACACACACACACACACACACACACACACACACACACTGCTGTACCTAGTCTTCAGTCCTCATCTATCCAATCTACCAAGCTGGTCACGGACCTGTAATTAGCTGCTTGATTGCTCTAAACATTTCAGACCAAGGCTGGCATCAGGGAAGCATGGATGCTGGAGATGCTACAAGCTGGAGATGACGCTGGGGATGCTGCATCGCTGAAAATTATTGTGGTTATGCTATAGAACACATTAGGCAGTAATGTGGTGGAGGCTGACTCCATACACAGTTTCAAGTGTAGATATGATAGAACCCAGTAGGCTCAGAAACCTGTACACCAGTTGATTGACAGTTGAGAGGCGGGACCAAAGAGCCAGAGCTCAACCACAATTAAGTGAGTACCGGAACCAAACACCCCCACCAAGACACTCAACCAATGCTCAGCTTTACAACCACCAAACAATGGATTACGTGATAAAAAGCGGACGAGGCTGGTGAGATTGTACTCAGCCGCTGCCCGAGTAACTGTACACAGGAGCAAACACAACACGAGGGGAGTAGAATGATTGACAAAAACAGGAGCGTAGTGTGTGTGTGGTAACTGGTGAGAACACACACACACAGGCTTCATACGGCGCTGTCTGACGCTAGCTCGGACGCAGTTACGGGGCTGTCTGACGCAAGCTCGGACGCAGTTACGGGGCTGTCTGACGCTAGCTCGGACGCAGTTACGGGGCTGTCTGACGCTAGCTCGGACGCAGTTACGGGGCTGTCTGACGCTAGCTCGGACGCAGTTACGGGGCTGTCTGACGCAAGCTCGGGCGCAGTTACGGTGCTGTCTGACGCAAGCTCGGGCGCAGTTATGGTGCTGTCTGACGCTAGCTCGGACGCAGTTACGGGGCTGTCTGACGCAAGCTCGGACGCAGTTACGGGGCTGTATGACGCAAGCTCGGGCGCAGTTACGGGGCTGTATGACGCAAGCTCGGACGCAGTTACGGTGCTGTCTGACGCTAGCTCGAACGCAGTTACGGGGCTGTCTGACGCAAGCTCGGACGCAGTTACGGGGCTGTATGACGCAAGCTCGGGCGCAGTTACGGTGCTGTCTGACGCAAGCTCGGACGCAGTTACGGGGCTGTCTGACGCAAGCTCGGACGCAGTTACGGGGATGTATGACGCTAGCTCGGACGCAGTTACGGGGCTGTATGACGCAAGCTCGGGCGCAGTTACGGTGCTGTCTGACGCAAGCTCGGACGCAGTTACGGGGCTGTCTGACGCTAGCTCGGACGCAGTTACGGTGCTGTATGACGCAAGCTCGGACGCAGTTACGGTGCTGTCTGACGCAAGCTCGGACGCAGTTACGGGGCTGTCTGACGCTAGCTCGGACGCAGTTACGGGGCTGTCTGACGCTAGCTCGGACGCAGTTACGGGGCTGTCTGACGCAAGCTCGGGCGCAGTTACGGTGCTGTCTGACGCTAGCTCGGACGCAGTTACGGTGCTGTCTAACGCAAGCTCGGGCGCAGTTACGGTGCTGTCTGACGCTAGCTCGGACGCAGTTACGGTGCTGTCTGACGCTAGCTCGGACGTAGATATGGTGCTGTCTGACGTAAGCTCGGGGCGCAGTTACGGCGCTGTCTGACGCTAGCTCGGACGCAGTTACGGTGCTGTCTGACGCTAGCTCGGACGCAGTTACGGTGCGTGGTGGATGAACGCATGCAAATTTAATACGTGAAGCAAGGAAGGGGATAATAATGTGAAGCAATGTGACAATCAATAGTGCATGAACAATAACGAAGTAATATTATGTGAAGCAAGAACCACTACACTTCGTGAAGCAAGGATAGGGACAATAACTGCTTGACGCAAGGATAAGAACAATAACTGCTTGACGCAAGGATAAGAACAATAACTGCTTGACGCAAGGATAGGGACAATAACTGTTTGACGCAAGGATAGGGACAATAACTGCTTGACGCAAGGATAAGGACAATAACTGCTTGACGCAAGGATAGCGACAATAACTACTTGACGCAAGAAGAGGGGATAATAACTGCGTGAAGCAAGACTAAAGCAATAACAGCGACTGAAGGACGGACTAAAGCATCGACGTGAATCAAGAATGAAAGCAATATCTTGAGTGAATCAAGGACGCACAGAGACGCAGCGCCAACACCAACGGACGCAACACACACCAAGGACTTGGGGGCGGGGGGGGGGGGGAATCACAGTAGCCGAGACGAGAGCAGAAGGACATGTTGGAAAGAAAAATACGAGATGTGATGACAAGGTCACACCAGCAGCAGCAGCAGCACCAGCAGGACCAGCAACAGCAGCAGCAGCAGGACCAGCAGCAGCAGCAGCAGCAGCACCAGCAACAGGACCAGTAACAACAACAGCAGCACCAGCAACAGCAGCAGGACCAGTAACAACAGCAACAGCAGCAGCAGCAGCAGCAGGACTAGTAACAACAGCAGCAGCAGCAGCAGCAGCAGCAGGACCAGTAACAACAGCAGCAGCAGCAGCAGCACAGTTGAGGCGAGGCAGAGAGAAGACCCTCCAGCGCCACACACCGGCAGGCAGGCAGGCAGGCGGCAAGGCTGGAAAAATCACAGCCAAGAGGTGCATATCGGAAGGCCAACCACTCCTCCCCCCTTTCCCCACTCCCCCTCCTCCCCCTCCCCAAGAGGAGAAAAACTCGCGGGTCAAGCACAGGTAAAGGATGGTGGCATCACAAGTACAGGGACGAGCGAATATTTCCTCCCCTATTATAAACGGGTTTTATTGGGGAGTTTTGTGGCGGGAATGTTGAGGAAATGACGGAAACAAACAGACACATGCCCACAAGAGCCGCTGGGTCTCCCCCCACAAGAGCCGCTGGGTCTCCCCCCACAAGAGCCGCTGGGTCTCCCCCCACAAGAGCCGCTGGGTCTCCCCCCACAAGAGCCGCTGGGTCTCCCCCCACAAGAGCCGCTGGGTCTCCCCCCACAAGAGCCGCTGGGTCTCCCCCCACAAGAGCCGCTGGGTCTCCCCCCACAAGAGCCGCTGGGTCTCCCCCCACAAGAGCCGCTGGGTCTCCCCCCACAAGAGCCGCTGCGTCGCCCCCCACAAGAGCCGCTGGGTCTCCCCCGACAAGAGCCGCTGGGTCTCCCCCCACAAGAGCCGCTGGGTCTCCCCCCACAAGAGCCGCTGGGTCTCCCCCCACAAGAGCCGCTGGGTCTCCCCCCACAAGAGCCGCTGGGTCTCCCCCCACAAGAGCCGCTGGGTCTCCCCCCACAAGAGCCGCTGCGTCGCCCCCCACAAGAGCCGCTGGGTCTCCCCCCACAAGAGCCGCTGGGTCTCCCCCCACAAGAGCCGCTGGGTCTCCCCCCACAAGAGCCGCTGCGTCACCCCCCACAAGAGCCGCTGGGTCTCCCCCCACAAGAGCCGCTGGGTCTCCCCCCACACGAGCCGCTGCGTCTCCCCCCACAAGAGCCGCTGGGTCTCCCCCCACAAGAGCCACTGCGTCTCCCCCCACAAGAGCCGCTGGGTCTCCCCCCACAAGAGCCGCTGGGTCTCCCCCCACAAGAGCCGCTGCGTCTCCCCCCACAAGAGCCGCTGGGACTCCCCCCACAAGAGCCGCTGGGTCTCCCCCCACAAGAGCCGCTGGGTCTCCCCCCACAAGAGCCGCTGGGTCTCTCCCCACAAGAGCCGCTGCGTCTCCCCCCACAAGAGCCGCTGGGTCTCCCCCCACAAGAGCCGCTGGGTCTCCCCCCACAAGAGCCGCTGGGTCGCCCCCCACAAGAGCCGCTGGGTCGCCCCCCACAAGAGCCGCTGGGTCTCCCCCCACAAGAGCCGCTGGGTCGCCCCCCACAAGAGCCGCTGGGTCTCCCCCCACAAGAGCCGCTGCGTCGCCCCCCACAACATCAATGGTCATTAAGGGGGAGTGTTGATTGTGTAAGGTGTGTGTGGGGTGATGGGTAGGGGAGGAGGGGGGGTGGTTGTAGTAGTGGGGGTGGGGTGGGGGAGGGGGGGTAGCGTCTCCAGCATATGACAGACCCCCACTGGTGATCACCGTAAGTGTAGTGGTCTACAGAGTGCACTCATATCCCTCAGTCAGGTAAAACTCTGCTACTGAGGAATAGTTCACTTGGGTATACTGCCAGTATACTATGCTGCCCCCTCACCCCCCCTCCCCCCCGTGCCCAGCCTGCAGGTGCCCCGCGCGCGTGTGTGTGTGTGTGTGTGTGGACGCAGGAGAGTGCCTGGGGAGCACTGCTCTCCCCGCCGGCCCTGGGGGCTGGCCCCGAGGGCCACACCATGTGGACACCGCGCCAAGAACTGGTCTCCACCTCCCAGATTTAACTATCATCCTCCCTCTCCCCCTCTCCCTACTCCCCCCCCCCCTCCCTCCCCCCCACCACACATCTCAAACTGATTGCTTCCACGCACTTTTAAGATACTGGGTTTCCCCTCCTCCTCCCCCCGCCCCCCGCCACCCCCCACCGGCCAGCGTGCTGGGAGAGAGAGAGAGAGGCAGGAGAGGTACTGAAGGAATGAACGGAGGAATGATGTGTCCACTGTTGCCCCCGAGGGCGGATGACACGTGCGCGCCAGGAGGGAAGGACTGGCTATCCCTGACCAGCCTGAGGGCCCTAGCCGCCTCCTGCTGCTGCTGCTGCTGCCCTCAGGGCCGGGGTGTTGCGTCACCCCTTAAGGGCTGCAGTCTTCGCTAACTGATTAACCTCCTCTGTATCACTGTATTATTTGTGTTTGAGCCATTAGGAGCGAGCCATTAGCTCTTGGTCCCCGCCTTTTTAACCGTCGGTTGGTCAATATACTGTCTATTGGTATAGGTCTCCCGACCTGTTTATCTCTCATATATACTACACATTTATCTTAAACACAATTACACATCCCCAGGAAGCAGCCCGTAGCAGCAGCTGTATAACTCCCAGGTACCTATTTACAGCTAGGTGAACAGGAGCATCAGGTGAATAAATTCTGCCCATTTGTTTCTTCCTCTGCCGGAAATCGAACCCGGACCCTGATGACTACGATCCCCGAGCGCTGTCTACTTGGCCGCGAGGCCCTGTGTACTCACCTAATTGATCTTACATGGTGGAGCAGCTGCTCGTGTGTATCGAATTGGCTTCAATAACTTCCTTGTCTAATCCGTTCCACTTATTAACGGGTCTCGGTGTGTAAAGGTCTTTCTGACACCTCTGTGTTTCCACCTGTGTCCTCTGGTTATACTGCTCCTTAATGTGAACATTGTTTATATTAACTTTGTCAATCACCAGGAATATCTTGTACATCGTTATCATGTCTGCCCCATTCCTTACCTTCAGTGTAGTGAGGTCTAGTTCCCTCAGTTTTTCTTCATAGTTCAGGTCCTTTAGTTCAGGAACGAGCCATGTTGCACGCGCGTGTGTGTGTGTGTATATGTGTGTGTGTGTATATGTGTGTGTGTGTGTGTGTGTGTGTGTGTGTGTGTGTATGTGTGTGTGTGTGTGTGTGTGTGTGTGTGTGTGTGTGTGTGTGTGTGTGTGTGTGTCCAACCACTCTCACTAATGTGCTTCAAAATCCCCAATGGACACTATACTATAAATCCTACTATATATATAGTATATATGTAAATCCTACATATATACTACTATATGTACTATAAATCTTTGCGACTCACAAACGCTTGGGTCGTGTTGGGCTAGGCTGGGCTAGACTGGGCTAGGCTGGGATAGACTGGGATAGGCTGGGCTAGGCTGGGCTAGGCTGGGATAGGCTGGGATAGACTGGGATAGACTGGGCTAGACTGGAGTAATTTAGTACACCATTTTGTGTGTGTTGTGATAAGATAAGCTCATGGCGACTGTAGGCCTGTGCTCATGTAGTGTTCGGTAGCCTCACAAGGTAGTCCAGCTGGCGGGATTACCTTGCAGGTTACCTTGTGGTGTTGCATACTGTGTTGCATACTGTGTTGCATACTGTGTTGCATAGAGCGCCACTGTGCAACCTCTGCAAGGGTGGAGGAGAGGGGTGGGGAGAGGAAACATGGAACAACAGTCTCAGAGGCGCGTCGTCGACCAGCTGCCAGCTGCTGTACTGGAGTGGCTCTCCTCCTCCCCTCACCCCCTTCCCTTCACCCTCCTTCCCTTCCCTTCACCCCCTTCCCCTCATCCTCTTCCCTACCCTTCCTTTCACCCCCTTCCCTACCCCTTCCCTTCACCCCCTTCCCTACCCTTTCCCTCACCCTCTTCCCTACCCTTCCTTTCACCCCCTTCCCTACCCTTCACCCCCTTCCCTACCCTTCCCTACCCTTTCCCTCACCCTCTTCCCTACCCTTCCTTTCACCCCCTTCCCTACCCTTCACCCCCTTCCCTACCCCCTCCCTTCACCCCCTTCCCTACCTTTCCCTACCCTTCCCTACCCACCCTGTCCTCCAACGATCTGTTTCCTGTCTGTTAGGTACTGATCTGTCTCAGTTACTTCAGCCTATTTCTCAAGCTCGTGTAGTAGTAAATAGTTTATACAACACTGTAGAAGGCTTTATGGCTGGACAAATGCCGTTTGTCCAGCCTTTTCTGTCTTGTCTTATTGTCCGGAAGTCGTCGTTGGACTCCAGAAAGCTCGTTATCCAGCAGTTTCCTTCCATACAACCATCTG